TATATACAGATCTATTCACACTTCAGACAATGTTTTCTATACTGCATGCAAGGAAATATTTTTTTTAATAAGAGGGTAATATTTTTCAGTATTGGGTTTTCATATTTTTTAAGTCCTAGGGAAAAAATTGCCATTTTTCATCATCGCCTGTAAGGAACATGTTTGCTATACATAGCAGGAACAATGTGTCTCATAAGTAAAACTCACTGTAACATGTACTATTGCTAACAGTCACAATTGTAAACTGAGGGCAATGTTGACCATTACTATTTTTGAAGAACACACAGGTTTCCTAACATTTTTTTGTACTTATTACCCCTATGGGCAATGTTACCCAGTGGATAATTTTCCATATTACTAACATTTAGCACATTAATTCCAATGCAATGTTTGTTATTACCAAGAACAAGAGCAGTGCTCATCATTGAAAAACAATGAGTGAAAAATAAGCCCTGAGGGAAATGCCTTACCATTATTAATTGTAAGAGCAATGCTTACAATTATTAACCTTGAGGGCAATGCTTACAATTATAAATCATAAAGGCAATGTTTAAACCTATTAATCCTGAGGGCCATGCTTACAATTATAAATCCAAAGGGCAATGTTTAGCTCTATTAATCCTGAGGGCAATAGCAACAATTGTCAACCCTGTGGACAATTTTTAGCACTATTTATCCTGACAGCAATGCTTACAATTATTAACCCTGAGGGCAATGTATTGACCTATTAATCCTGTGGGCAATGCTTACAATTACAAATCCTAAGGGCAATATTTAGCACTTTTAATCCTGAGAGCAATACCAACAATTGTCAATCCTGTGGGCAATTTTAGCACTATTAATTCTGACAGCAATGCTTACAATTATTAACCCTGAGGGCAATGTTTTGACCTATTAATCCTGTGGGCAATGCTTACAATTACAAATCCTAAGGGCAATGTTTAGACCTATTAATCCTGAGGGTCATGATTACAATTACAAATCCTAAGGGCACCAATTAGCACTATTAATCATGAGGGCAATGCTTACAATTTTAAATCCTAAGGGCAATGTTTTGACCTATTAATCCTGTGGGCAATGCTTACAATTATAAATCATAAGGGCAATGTTTAGACCTATTAATCCTGAGTGCCATGTTTACAATTACAAATCCTAAGGGCACTATTTAGCACTATTAATCCTGACAGCAATGCTTACAATTATTAACCCTGAGGGCAATGTTTAGACCTATTAATCCTGTGGGCAATGCTTACAATTACAAATCCTAAGGGTAATGTTTAGACTTATTAATCCTGAGAGCAATGCATGTACTAACAATTGTCAATCCTGTGGGCAATTTTAGCACTATTAATTCTGACAGCAATGCTAACAATTATTAACCCTGAGGGCAATGTTTTGACCTATTAATCCTGACAGCAATGCTTACAATTTTAAATCCTAAAGGCAATGTTTAAACCTATTAATCCTGAGGGCCATGCTTACAATTATAAATCCTAAGGGCAATGTTTAGCACTATTAATCCTGAGGGCAATAGCAACAATTGTCAATCCTGTGGACAATTTTTAGCACTATTTATCCTGACAGCAATGCTTACAATTATTAACCCTGAGGGCAATGTATTGACCTATTAATCCTGTGGGCAATGCTTACAATTACAAATCCTAAGGGCAATATTTAGCACTTTTAATCCTGAGAGCAATACCAACAATTGTCAATCCTGTGGGCAATTTTAGCACTAATAATTCTGACAGCAATGCTTACTATTATTAACACTGAGGGCAATGTTGTGACCTATAAATCCTGTGGGCAATGCTTACAATTATAAATCCTAAGGGCAATATTTAGCACTATTAATCCTGAGAGCAATACCAACAATTGTCAATCCTGTGGGCAATTTTAGCACTATTAATTCTGACAGCAATGCTTACAATTATTAACCCTGAGGGTAATTTTTTTGACCTATTAATCCTGTGGGCAATGCTTACAATTACAAATCCTGAGGGCAATGTTTAGCACTATTAATCCTGAGAGCAATACCAACAATTGTCAATCCTGTGGGCAATTTTAGCACTATTTATTCTGACAGCAATGCTTACAATTATTAACCCTGAGGGCAACACTATCACCATTATTAGATGCAGGACAGAGAAAACCATTACCAATATGGCAACATCTATTTCAATTCATCTTGAAATGTTTTAATTTCTTCAAGGAAAACAATCCACATTATCAACTCTGAAGAATAATTAACTCTGAAGGCTAAGTTTACTAACATTTACTATAAGGACAGTGTATTACATCACTTAAATTAAATGCAAGGCTTAATTAAGTCAATTAAGTCCGCATACACTTTGATAAAACAGACTTATTATTAAATAGATGTAAGAAGAATCCCAGTTATTTTATGAAAGATAAATTATATAAAAAGGTTGCAAGCAGTAAAACATACTGAATGTTTACGAAGAGTCAATAACCTACACAATTAAGAGAATGAATGATGCAACCAACAATTACAGTTTTACTCTTGCATGCTTACTCTCACATAACCATGTTTGTCCATAAACTTCCTAAAATTAACTTATCCCATGACATAAGCAGTCATGTGACCTGGATAAAGACCAAAAAAGGAATCCTATGTAATTAACTCACTGTTAATAATATGATTCTTGTGATATGACTCTTAATCTGATGTTGGATTCTCGTAACGGAAGAATAAAATCTTAGCATTATGTAATGATTGCATGCATGGACAAAAATGGTTGGAACTAAATATCCTATCTTATTTTCTACCAATTACTTTGCGCCGACAGTCCTTGATAGCAGCAGTGATCAATGAACAACATAAAACATATAATTAATGTAACATACAAAGAAACACTAGCACTGAATTTAAAATCAATTTTGAAATCATATCGTACATAAAAAGAGATTGCATGTGTTGGATTCTTTCATACTAATTTTTAACAGTGTCTCCTGGAAATAATAAAGTGATCTACAAAATACTTGACCAGTTAGCAAAACAATAACATAATTAACACAAATGGCTTCCTCTTAACTGTGTGTATTCCTCTGGAGAAATATTTTAAACCAAGTTTAAGGAGTTGGAAACTGATTATTTTTGAAGAGATTGACATAAATGAACTTGAAAATCTAATTAAGCATTTCTTATTATCATACTTGTAATGCATATTTCTTCCTTTACAAGCAAGGCAAGATAAAAGCATTGCAAAATTCTGTGACAATGAAAAAATGAATCAAAAATATTATGAAAATCTACTGTGGCATGCTAATTAAAAAAAAAATAATTAAGTTCCAAAACCAATGTTTTTTTTCAGTTTTGGGGGAAAGGGGTCAGTGCCCATTGGATGGGGAAAAATAGCGCGTAAATGCCAAAAAAGGGGAATTTTCAGTGTTATTAATATTCAATAAAAAGACTAAAAATACATGATTTTTTAACAATCCTATAAAATAAATAAAACAACTAATTGAAATTAGTTAACAACTTTATTAACTGAGTGACTTCAGTTCAGTTTGATTCTTGTTTGGGTTTATTTTTTTGAGGGTGGGGAATTTTCGCAATTTCATGGGGAAAAATATATATTCCCAGAGGTGGGGAAAGGGGCCGAATATCGCCGAATATTTTGACCAAAAAAAACACTGAAAACATGCATTTCTGTAAACATACAGTTAAAAAAGTTGTAAAAACAAAGTAAAAATTTCTTTTGCATTGAAATAATTGTTCAGAAAATGCAAACATATATGAAGAATAGGTAACTATTCTTTTGAATATAAATAATTTTGTAAAAGGAACATCTTTCATAGAGGTTGAAATGTTGTTCAGAAAAAGCATTCATATATGAAGAATAGCTTATTATTTTTTTGAAAATAAATAATTTTTGTAAAAGGAACATTTTTCAAAGAGGGTGAAAAACAAACAATTATAAAATATAAAACACGTTTTGTTCCTGATCCCTTTTGGATTTAAGTGCCTTTTTATTACTATGATTGCCATGATGCAATCTCACATTCTTATCAATATGTGGAAGTTAAACTAGTAATCTGTAACAGTATGTCAGTCAAAACAAATGGTAGTCTACTGATTTTAAAGTGCCTGCCATTCAACCCAGGGATCATGATGTGATCCGAACCTACTGGTTCTAAGAAAGCTTTAAGCTTTCAATACAAGCTAAAATAAGTGTGTTTAAATTAAACTAGGATGTCCGGTCTAACACCAGGAGGCAGTTAACCATCAAAATGTTCCTTAATTCTTAACCAATCCTTATAACTTGTCTAAACAATATTCTAGATATAATTATGCATACAGGCTTATCTTACATGTACATTTATATAGAAAATAACTTAAATAAGAGAGAATAACTGAAATAAGTGTCAAAATTCACATTCTGGACCAATTTTACATAAAATATCACTTGAAAAAACATGATATACTGCTATAATTATGTCATAATAAAAGAGTAATCTTTTTTTTCTGCAATATCATTATCAATATCATAAAAAGTAGCAGATATTCTATAGACATGATTAGAAAACACAATCACTTTACTACCTTGAGGCACCTTAAAGGCAAATCACTTTGCTACAGAATGTGTTAGTAATTTATAAAGCCATGACAGTACATTCTATAAACGTTCTAAAGATACATGTATGTAATAAGAATCTAACACGTGCAGCCGTTGGCTATCTAACACAAATAAATCTGTACAATCAAATAGTTCAAGCAATAAATAAACACTAACATAGCTATAAACAAATGGTAGAGTTCTCTCCCTTATACTTGACAATGTTTGCCTGTTTAAATTGTGACAACAACCCCCCACCCCAACCCCATAAAAATAATTTTGTAAACATGTGAAAATTTCATAAAACCCTACTCATTCTTCAAAAAGTATTTTAAACAAGCAAACATAATATGTGAATGGTTAAAGATAGTAACAAAAACTTCAAGAAAAGTAAAGGGGGAGAACTCAGTGAGGACTCACCGTCAGTGAAGACTGCACAACAGAAAATTTTAGCATAAAAGCATGGACATAATAACAATCATAGGGTTTGTCAAATACCGCCAGTTTTTTTTTCTTTTCTTTTTAAATACGAATCTTGTATAAATTTTTTAATCTTTTCTATGTAAATGCAATTCTCATGTTTAACAGTGTTGTTTTTTTTTAATCCCTGCTAGAACTTGCAACAGACTTCAGTACGGTCAGAGTTTTTTTATTTTTGTTTGGCCAAGCATTTATAATCATGGCAGAGGCTTTTCTCCAAAATACCTTTTTTTATCTAAGTCAAAGTGTCAAAGTATTTTTCTTCTGACATATTTGGCCAACTCTTTTAGCTAGAATTTCTTGGTTAAATTCTACAATTATCAGGAACACAATGCAAATCTATTGTAAATGCATACAAAACAAGTAAGTAACCATTTACTGTACAATTGTTTTGCATTCTAACAGTAAAAATGCTTAAAGAACAATAAAGAGATCAAATTATTAACATTCAAATCATCACCTCAGCAAATTAGTACCTGCTTCTTAATATATATTAGCTAAGGCGAAGAAGTAGTAAAGTCTTAAAATAGTTCTATGGTAAATTGTACAATGTAATAGAAATCTATAAATTTGCAATTATTATAAATTCATTTTAACTGTTCACAAAAAATCTCAATGTATTTTTGTAATTAAAAGAAGGGATTACTCTGTAATAAAATGTTTGCTAAAAAAACATACAAAATTGGGTTGCATTTATTAAAAAAAGTCTGTAATAAAATGTTTGCTAAAAAAACACATACAAAATTGGATTGCATTTATTAAAAAAAAGTTAAAATGTGCAAAAATGATCAAAATTGGATCATTTACTAAAAAAAATTTAAAAGCAAAATTCTAACAATTTGAGTCACTAAATCAAATAAAAAAGAAAAATCCCAGGAGACAGAAACAAGAATTTAGGAATTTTGGAGCCAAAAATTGTATGTACTTATCATTAGACTTTCACCTCTAAATGTCCTTGACCTTTGTGGCACTACGTGACTCAGCAGCCGAGAAAAGACTCTAACAAAATGTAGAATAACCTGTTTTTTTCTCAAATAGTTGTTTATCTTGTCAAAGCAATAGTAGTACACAGCTTAAGGGCTCCTGTCAATTCTATCTTTTCTAGACCATTTCAATCTTCATTTTCAGTACTAATTAAACACACTGTTTCAAATTCTTCAAACTTAATTTCATTTGTTCAGGGATTTACACTGTACATGTACTTATTTTGAAGCCTATCTTACAAGACAAGAATCAATATTTAGTCTTGATTTTTACAAAGGTAATCTTTGTTTTGATACTACTGAGACATAGAGTATAATTTAGTTCATTAAAATCTTAGCCAAATGACTTGTAAATCTGTAGGTAAAATTACTTACAAAACCCAAGTCCAAAACAGTCAGTTCTTTAATTACATTTCTTTCAAATGTTTGCAAAAATGTTATTATTTACAGAAACATTAAACTAACTGTATTGTCTGAAGAGAACATTCACCTTGTAAAGGGCAAGGAAGAAATATTAAATGTGACAATTCCATTCACAATGTAGTATACTAATCCAGACAGATAATGCCAGTTATCAATCTGCAGACATAATGTAGGACTTACAAATCTCAGCTTTTACACTAACCAAAATGTTAGCTCTAGTTCAAGCTTCCTATTTCTTCCCTAAATTAAGTTTATTATCATATTTCTGCCATGGTAATATTACCACTGTATGACTTGTTCCGTCCAGACTTGAGTAATTATCTAACCTGAGAATTACTTGTACTTCTGGCTAGCTTTTAAATGAACAATTCTTAAGGGACAATTTATATATTTTCTAATAATGTGCAAAATACTAGCCAAGTATTAAAACTGCAACACCATATTATGCAATCAAATAAGTAAAGTCTGGATTAGATTTGTAGCTGGAATGAGCTTTACATATTTGGTGCCTTTAAAAGCAGTTGGTAGCCTTAAGAGAATAAATTCACAACTGTATAATTACATCATTTTGAGCAACAAATCTCATATTTTTGCTTAACAACCTGTACCATTTGCAAGAAATGCAAGGGAATTGGATGTCAATTTATAAGTAACTGTCACATTACTGTTAAATTAAGAAAACATAATTTGATTTGAAAAGATTAAAACACTTGTGTTTGACCACAGAGGTACAATGCCAATTTAAGCAAGAAAAAGGACCTCACACTTTTAATACACTCTGCAATATTTTTCTAAATTTTGGTATCAAATTTATAGCAAAAATCTATGAATAAGCATAAATGAAACTCAGTTAAAGTGCTATATTGACTTAACTATTTCCATAGTATGCAGTAACCTTTATTCGAAATTCTACTCAAATTGATCACTTGATTCATTCTTGAAAATAAATAGCTTTGTGTCACTTTTGACACTTTCAGCTTCGTCAGACTATGATTTTATACAAGGAGTAATATTTCAAACTTCAAGTTAAAAGCTTCCAAGACAAAATAATTTTTCTTTCATGATAAATCCCTGAGCTGTGTAATTAATTGATAAGCAAAACTAGAAATGTGTCCATAGGACACGGATGCCCCCACACGCCACTGTTCTGTCAATCTTATGACTCTAAGTCAAATATTTTTTGGACTACATGTGCCACAGGTTGAAAACTAAAAATCAACAAAGGGCCATAATTCTGTTAAATTTGGTCGCAGCAAAAATTCCTTCCTTTACTACCATCTACACATTAAGGTTGTTAATCCCTGGAAGTTTAAGCAAAATCTGCCATCCAGTTTAAGAGGAGTTGCATTCACAAAATTTCTACATAGTATATAGTGCAAAAATCAACAAAGGGCCATAATTCTGTAAAATTTGGTTGCAGCAAAAATTCCTTCCTTTACTACCATCTAAACCTAAAGGTTGTTCATCCCTGGAAGTTTAAGCAGAATCTGCCATCCGGTTTAAGAGGAGTTGCGTTCACAAAATTTCTACATAGTATATAGTGAAAAAATCAACAAAGGGCCCTAATTCTGTAAAATTTGGTCGCAGCGAAAATTCCTTCCTTTACTACCATCTAAACCTAAAGGTTGTTCATCCCTGGAAGTTTAAGCAAAATCTGCCATCCGGTTTAAGAGGAGTTGCGTTCACAAAATTTCTACATAGTATAATTTATAGTGAAAAAATCAACAAAGGGCCATAATTCTGTTAAATTTGGTCGCAGCGAAAATTCCTTCCTTTACTACCATCTACACATTAAGGTTGTTCATCCCTGTAAGTTTAAGCAAAATCTGCCATCCGGTTTAAGAGGAGTTGCGTTCACAAAATTTCTACATAGTATATAGTGAAAAAATCAACAAAGGGCCATAATTCTGTTAAATTTGGTCGCAGCGAAAATTACTTCCTTTACTACCATCTACACATTAAGGTTGTTCATCCCTGTAAGTTTAAGCAAAATCTGCCATCCGGTTTAAGAGGAGTTGCGTTCACAAGATTTCGGGACGTACGTACGGACGGACGGACAAGTGCAACGCTATATGCTCCCACATTGTGGGGGCATAAAAAAGGTCAGAGAACTTTTCTTCTTATAGTAAAAGGCTTATAAACCTTTGCGCAAGCATTTTAAAGGTAAGTGTTGAAGTCTCCCAGGTTTTCCTTCTAATACAATTATTTCCACAAAGTTAAATTTTATTTTTCTTATTGTAAAATAAAATAGGATAAAAACTGAATACATGACATTTCAGCTGCCAACTTCACTGCTTATGTTGATTGGGTACAAAGATAGACCTTTCATTTATAGTTTTAGGCACTTTCGCCAGTATTGTTCAACAATAATATTAGTGAGGACAAGAAATAAATTTGTCTATATACAGCATAATGTTTAGATATATTCTAAATAAAGATTCAAATAACTGGAAATTTTTAATAAGTAGCTGTAATTGGTTTATTACATAAATTAATTAACCAGTATTGATTCAGATATGGAAGTCTATTTTCTAACCAACTGGATTTTGCTTAACAACTACTGTTTATTGTCACAATAAGTATACTTTAAATTACCTGGAATTGTTCTGAAATAAATTCTATGACAACTATATGTATAATTACAAAACATAAAATAACTACTGTGAAATCACTAAATCTCTTCAAATAAATCTTCATGAATTTATCAGGACATCAATAACAAGAGCGATCAGTGATCACATGTCGCCTGATGACAGCCAAATAAGCAGTTGTATTGGCGGGTGATTGACCAGTCTATTCTCTATATGTCATGGCCACTTTGTAGGAGACACAAAAATCATTAATAGGCCAAAACCCCCCTTTGACAAAAATCACTTGGTACTTACCATTCCTGTAAAGTTTGGATGAAATTGCACCAGTACTTTTTGAGGAGTAGTCCAGACGGGAAACAAAAGCCCTCCCGCACAAAAGCCCTCACGTCTAAAAATGACAAGGCGGACAAAAGCCCTGTCATTTTCACGGGAAGGCTTTTTCCGCCTTGTCATTTTTGGACAGGAGGGCTTTTGTCCTGGAGAGCTTTTGTCCTACACTCAGTCCAGACAAGTTTTGTGACAGACAGACAGACAGACAGTTGGACATCCGGACGAAATGGAAGAAATAGCCATTCCTTTAGTTTTCTTTTTATTAATAGCAGGCCAAAAAGCCCCTTACTTTATTGTTATGGAATGAATTCTATTGTTCTCTTTTGTTCTGTTTACAGTAACATGGCCCCCTATCTCTGTTCGGTTGTGCAGACAGATGTACAGACAGACAATGGAAAAGTGAACTCAATATGTTGCCGCTATGACTAAAATTGAAATATGGGACATAACTATAACTAAACTGCATGTTATATTCATATTACTTGCCAATTTAAACAGCTTTTTTACATAAATTGAACGATGTAATACTGTATATGTAGACGATTGAATGATTTCACAGTGTTATGATTTCATAGCAACAGTATGCGCTGGATGCTAGCCAATAAATAAAACATATGACAACAGTACCATGGTTTTGTTGAAAGCTGCTAATAGGTAAAGAAAGAGTAAACAACACAGAAATTATGATCATATATGTATATAGAACAATATGCATTCACAATGCCAACAATGCAGCACAGTAAATTAAAAAAAAAAATTAAGCATTTTCTTTCTATCAACAATACTACTGAAAATACTTCAAGTCAAAATAACAATCTAATATAAATGTCCTTTTTTATAAGGACACTATGTTCCCTTCGTCTCCGCAGACAATATCATTACCATCTATATTGGACAGTTTTAAAATGAAACAGTCCTTGTTTATTTGATGGATTTCAAGATTGAAATGCCCACATCAAGCAGATTGGTGTAAAAACTCTGGCTATGAAAGCTAGATTGGCTTGGATTTATTCAAAATTTACTATCAGAAATAAGACTATACTTACTTTGACTTGAAGTATCAACTTAAATTTCTAGAAATGGGACAAAGCCTACACAATTTGTTAAAGCCAGCATTCACAGTTTTCAGTGATATGCCCAAAATAACCTTACTTTATGCATGGTTTTCTCATGGTTTTATACACAATATAATAAATATAGACAGAATTCAATATAAGAGGCATGATAAATTTTTGTTACATTTCTTAAGAACTTGTCATACACAGACATTGATAAATTTCACACAGCCAACAATTTTATTGATCCAACAATTCGTGTCTACAGTCTACAAAATATATAAACCCACCATATTGCTAGTATATTTCTGGAATTTCCCCCAAATGATTTCTGTTTGATTTACACAAAATGCATCATATAGTAATATTTACTACTTGTTTGTAATTTTGAAACTATCTCTTGTGTTTAATGATGATTTGTTTTTCTGATATATTTATGTGCAAGAATCCCCTGTAGACCAAGAACATAATGGATTTCACTGTATCAGATCTTTGACATGACATACAAAACATTGTGTGTGTTTTTTTATCTGATTTATATGGAACAAAAGCTGATTTCATATAAAATCAGAATTATCATTGCCTGTCTTATAAAAAATTCTTATGTAACAACTTAGAAAAATGTATTAAAATGAAATTATATAATCCCTTCAAACTTAAAGACCTTCATATTTTTTACTATTTGACCTTTTTTTTCTACACCAGGGTAAAATAATGGGACTCATATGTCAGCTTAAATACTTACAGATCCGAATCTGTGCAGCACAAGGTACGCCTCAGCTGTAGGGTTCATACCTATGTGGTCAAGTTTCCATCCAATCACCTAAATATACAAAATAATAATATGACTAATTACTAAAATAATACCAAACAGTCAAATTAGGCTGATTAGAGCATGTAAAATAATGTTTTGTTTTTTTTAGAAAGTCTATTTGAAAAAGAAAAGACAAAGAATTGAACAATAATAGGCTGTTGAAAGTAGATTAATTTTAAAGGGAGGAAGCATTTATATTTCTGCATCATCATGACACCATCATCATCATGTCACCAGCATTATCATGTCACCAGAATATTGCCGATGTGTCTTATTACATATCAATTGAACAACCTCTAATTTTACGACTCTCTATAGTCCTATCAAGTATTTAATTTCAATTAATTTAGTTCTAGAATTAACTATTTCTATATGCTACGATCATGAAAATCACCTTATGTTTCCATCATAATTAGAAACAAGAAACATGGCAATGCCATGAAACCAGGTTTTCAATTATCACCATTGTAGATAAATATGTTGTATTTGAAATACAAATACAAGCAACAAACAATGTAACTATGTGCAATGTAAAACATGAATAATGTAGGAGGAATTGCCACTGAAGAAGTGTTAACTATATATTCTGTATAAAGAAAAAAACAAAGGGCCATAATTAGGTATCACAAAACCCCGACAATATGTGCCAGGGCACTTGATGACAAAGCTTCTGTGAAAGTTTGAACAAAATTCCATTGAGAAATGTAGGACGAGTTCAGCACAGAAGAATTTGTTCACTATATATTGATAATTCTGTATTAGGAGAAAAACAAAGGGCCATAATTAGGTCAAATATTATCCAATCACAAAACCCCAACAATATGCGCCAGGGCACTTGATAACAAAGCTTCTGTGAAAGTTTGGTCAAAATCCGTTGAGAAATGTAGGAGAAGTTGCGCACGATAGAAATTGTTCACTATATATTCTGTAAAAGGAAAAAAAACAAAGGGCCATAATTAGGTCAAATATTATCCAATCACAAAACCCTGACAATATGCGCCAGGGCACTTGATGACAAAGCTTCTGTGAAAGTTTGAACAAAATCTGTTGAGAATTGTAGAGGGAGTTCAGCACAGAAGAAATTGTTCACTATATATTCTGTATAAGGAAAAAAAACAAAGGGCAATAATTAGGTCAAATATTATCCAATCGCAAAAACCCGACAATATGCGCCAGTGCACTTGGTGACAAAGGTTCTGTAAAAGTTTTGGTCAAAATCCGTGAAGAAATGTAGGAGGAGATGCGCACAAGAAGAAATTGTTCACTATAAATTCTGTATAAGGAAAAAAAACAAAAGGCCGTAATTAGGTCAAATATTATCCAATTCAAAAACCCTGACAATATGCCCCAGGGCACTTGATGACAAAGCTTCTGTGAAAGTTTGGTCAAAATCCGTTGAGAAATGTAGGAGGAGTTGCGCACAGAAGAAATTGTTCACTATATATTCTATATAAGGAAAAAAAACAAAGGGCCATAATTAGGTCAAATATTATCCAATCGCAAAACCCCGACAATATGCGCCAGGGCACTTGATGACAAAGCTTCTGTGAAAGTTTGGTCAAAATCCGTTGAGAAATTTAGAAGGAGTTGCGCACAGAAGAAATTGTTTACGCCCGCCCACCCGCCCTTTCCGCCCGCCGCCGCCGACATACTCAATCTAATAACCAGTTTTGAACAAAGGTTCTGTGAAAGTTTGGTCAAAATCCGTGAAGAAATGTAGGAGGAGATGCGCACAGAAGAAATTGTTCACTATAAATTCTGTGAAAAAAAAAAAAAGGCCGTAATTAGGTCAAATATTATCCAATCCAAAAACCCTGACAATATGCGCCAGGGCAACTTGATGACAAAGCTTCTGTGAAAGTTTGGTCAAAATCCGTTGAGAAATTTAGAAGGAGTTGCGCACAGAAGATATTGTTCACTATAAATCTGTATAAGGAAAAAAAAAAAAAAGGCCGTAATTAGGTCAAATATTATCCAATCCAAAAACCCTGACAATATGCGCCAGGGCACTTGATGACAAAGCTTCTGTGAAAGTTTGGTCAAAATCCGTTGAGAAATTTAGAAGGAGTTGCGCACAGAAGAAATTGTTTACGCCCGCCCGCCCGTTCCGCCCGCCCGCCGACATACCTCAATCTAATAACCAGTTTTTTCCTTCGGAAAACCTGGTTAATCAATAAAACTACGGTAGTAGTTTTAAATTTACTATGGCAGATCTTGCATATTTATTTCTAATTTCTATTGGCCTCCTAATGTGATGGAGCAAGAGAATAACGAAAGTTCAACCAGTTAGTGGACTAATATTTTATGTTAATAACTTTTAACATCTGCTCAAATTTTTAACTCGCTATACCTTACATGTAATGGAAATATCCTACTTAAGTATATAAGAATTGATTTTAATTTGATAGTGTTGGAAGCTATAAGCTTATAGAAGCACTCTTAAATTCATTCCTGGAACCAACCAGAACAAAGCAATAAATATAAAGATCTTTGCTGGCACTTGCCCATGACAGGGTTTGATCCCATATGAACAGGAAATTTAGATTTCTAATGATATATGCTAACCACTCAGCAACGCAGCTCTGATGATACCACTCATATTCTGCTTTGTCCTTGCTTTATGCAAAGCTTTAACAAAATCGTCCTTGCATTAAAACATGATACTTATTTCTAAGAAAATAGCAGAAATGTTTTCATCTTAAAACATTAAATTGACAAAATTTTACCAATTTTAAAGATACATCAGACATAAAGTGCCTAATTAAGGCAGACATTTCCAAATTGCTTGAATGAGATTCCAATTAAGCTTTAAATTCAATTTTGAATAACATTTATAGAGGAAATGTGCTTAAACAGAACCTAACTTAATCTAAATTTAGGTTCAAACTCATGCAGCAGTTCTTGTAAAAGATACAAGTAAACATTGCATACTAAACTTTTTTCATTTAAAGCTACAATCATCCAGATGAGGACTTTAAAGGACTGATTGTGCAGTATTTATCACCATATTTCTACTGCATTACTAATACAGTAAGGGCTATTTTGCCTATTTTCACCTGTTTTTGGTAATTTAAATGGATTACAATGTGAAAACTCTTTTCTTTGTTCACTTCACAACATTTTACTTCAAAATTTAATACATTTTAAAAAATTTCATGAAAACTAACATGAACCTGGAGGTATGCTGCTTTAAAATACAGCAATAACAGCTTATCAAAATTCATCCATTATATGATATCATAAATATGGATTGCAAATTGTGAATTATGATTTCATGGCATTTCAGACAGATAAATCAAATACATAATCATTAGGAATAATGGGATCTTCTACTTAACCTATTGACAAGTCTACCATTTGTATTAGACATTCATTTTCCTTTTTTTTTCACGCCCATTAAATCTCTTTTACAAAAGCTTTCTCAATCTGAATTCCATCATATTATGAATATCTCTTAAATCTTCAGACAGTAACATCTAATATGCATATCATTTAAATGAAAATATCAATTTCTTATCTTTAGAGATTTTGCTAAATGAGTTTTATGTGCAATTTGAGATGAAGATTTCAATTTGCTTGTCTATGTACAAATCTTATAAAATAAAAGGCTTACGATAAAAATAGCATCATTGCAAGAGTACAACTTGTTAAGTGGCTAAACCACGTGACAAATAATGTACTGGACAAAAATGTAATAAGTAACCTTGATTCGATTATGGCAAGCTTTTTGTGAATATTTTTTCAATAGTGTGAGATCCAGGATGGATCACACAAACCCATGCATGGACAGTTTTTTATTCAGCTTCTACGGTTTTTTGCTTAGTCTTTCTGATTTATGAACCAAAATCTCAGACAACTGCAAAATACTTGGGAAAAATCTTGGTTTCCATAAACATCATCTGATTAGAGCTTTTCAATCACTATATTGTAAGTGTTACAAAATTTTCTTTCTGGAAAATCTAAATCATTCTGGTACATCATTATGATACAATATTAACACTTCTTACACTTTTCCTTATGAAAATGACCTTTACGAAATTATTACCTTGTGTTAGTACTGATGATCTTGCATAAATTCTTTCAGTTGAGCTGATTGCTTTTTACCAATCAAAGTTTTTGTAGTAATTTACATTGATGCAACCAGCTAAGACTGAATGTGAACTATTCACATGCAAAGGTTAAAATAATTACCTGATTCATTTGAAATTCCTTTTCTTTGATGAAACAGTAGCATCTTAGTATAAGACTATATACAGACATTAAGTAGATCTAGCAACCACTGAGCACAAGTTGTCAAGTTGTTAGTATTTGCATCAAACCCTAGACTGCTAAATTTGTTAAACTGCCTTGCCTGGCAGTGTATTCTCAGTTAAAGGGATATCAGTAACAAAATACTGAAATAATTTAATATCCAAATTAAGCAAAAGGTGCAGACAGACTACAAGAAAAGTCTGGTGACTGTCTAAAGTCTAAATTTCTGACCTAGGACAATCACTACGGCCACGTTCTATAAAAGTCAGAATGTTTTTATACTCATAAAAGCCTGGTAGACAATTATTGTGTGATATAAGATCTACCTTATCCTTCAGAGACTCCATGAAGCCTGCTGTGGTTCCTGTACAATGTACCAGGCAAATACCCAACACTCTCTTTGGCTGTGTCATCTGAAATATATATAGAAATACATGTACAAACTATAGAAATACATACTTCAAAGCAAATCAGATTTAAAGCTTGCCTTGTAATTGGCTTTAAATTTAACCCTTAAAGGGACTCCATTGAGGTATATTTCATGTACCATTTGATGACAGTCTGCACCAATAACTTGTGTGCAAATTTCCAGATCATTTCCTCTCCACTTTTTCCATAAACATCATTTTTAATGTGCAAAAAAATTCACCAAAAATTAAAATTCTGTTAAAAATCATACTCAATAATGAAATTAAATTAATGTCCAAGTTTATTTCTTCATTATCTTTTGCAGTTTTTTTCAATTTTAAGTGCTTAATCACTTGATATATGTAAAAAAAATTAGCGTTGATGTTTTTTAGACTTTTTGACCTAAGTGGGGCTCCTTTAAATGAGTGGATTAATTTCATAAAATAGTCATGATTAGAACTTTTCACAACTAGCTTGCAGTATTTCATTAACAAAATATTAAAATTTAGCAGTTTAGTACTTGGAGACATTTTACACTTGACAAATGTGCAAGCTGGTAGGTTGCATAGCCATGTTAAAACCACCATCAAAGCTGAAAGGGTAAATTTTATGAAAAATATTGGAAAACAGGAGATCCCTTTGAAGTTATAAAAGTAACAAAATTATATGAAAATTTCAGACTCGGTTTGATAAAGTCTATTTTTGAGAGAAAATGTAAAAAGGTAACAATTCTCATGCCCACTAGCAGCGGCAAGCAGTATTCAATGTTCAACACAAAATATGCTGTAAAAAATGATCACTATGGACTAGAAAAGTATAACAAACTGAAATTTCTCAACTTTAATGAGAAGTTGAAGAATATTTTTAGTCCCACCTGATCCTTCCAACAATGTTAATTGGTAACAATGGTAACATGTGACCACATTTAGGACAGTAATCATCTTACTTTATAATTTTACACAAAAAAAAATAAATAAATAAACTTTACAAAACAACTACCTGGCATAACCATTAAATTTTCTTGTGCAATTTGTGTTAATTGGTTTTCAGACATATGAAATTAGATTTAATTGAGGAAATGATGTCCCTATGTAGCCATTAGGTGTAGTTATTAACATTTATCTAATAGAGACAGATGGCATAATTCTCAGATATTGTCTGGAGTATAATCTATAGCTCTAACTCCTGTTGACAAAGCAATTAAATTTTTCTGGTTACAAATGATATTTAAAGGGGAAGTAAAAATTACATGAGGTAGTAATTTTACAGTTTTAAGTTTAGCAATTTTATGAAGAGCATTATTCTGTTTTATGAAGACTAAGAATACCTCGGAGATTATAACAGAAAATTTGTACTAATATTTTAACAATCTCTCTACAAAACATAAAATGGATGAAAGAAAACAACATATCACTTTAAAATGTTCATATTTTAACATTGTTGCTTCGAATGGAGAGTGTCCACTTTTCAATCATCTGGATATACATACTTTAATTATACTATGCAATTCTTTTACCGGGTTTATTTTTGGTACAATGTCATAGTAGAGGACATCATAGGCATCTGAGATCCTGGGAAAGGGACCCAGCATTGTTTCTTGTGGGAAAATAAACAAAGATTCTGTTGCTAATAACTTTGGTAAGTTTTTCCCTTCAAATTTAAAACAATATTTTACACAAGTTCTTTTAAATTGAAAGCTCAAAAAGACGGGTCTATCTAATACAAGACTTAATTCAACACCATCATTTAATTTTGTTCTAAATTCTATGGGAAATTTCAAAAGACTGATCAAACTGGGGGGAAAAGAGGCTAGTTCGGTTGGGGAAGCAGCCTTATATCCGACCTCCACAAAGAAGGGGGTTTTTTTTGGCCCTGGTAATGGTAGAGGACAATATAGGAATCTGTGATCCTGGAAACATGGGACCCGGGATTGTACCAGATATATATGTAGGGATGTAAATAAACAAAGAAGTCTCTGAAGTTCTGCTATATAACTTGTCTCACTTTTCTTTTTCCCCTTCAATTCATTTGTTTAAACATATTTATTTTTTGATTGCAAAACAAGTTCTTGCAACTTAAATTGTAACCAGTCCTGGTGTCATATGAAGAAACGTGGTCTATCTGATTAGTGCCCAACACATGATCTCTGGGTTGAAAGGCAGACAACCACTAGGCCCCTTAAATTCATTCAGTAGCAAAAATGTAGTAAGTATCCTCTAAAACTTTACTAAAACTTGTATTGGTTTAATTGTTTAAAGAAAATCTCCTATATCATCAAATAGAACAAGATTAATGTATGTATTTTCTTTTTTGAAAGATTCATAATTATATTGACTTCATTTTCAACGTGAATTGCCCTTTATTCATGAACATGCAGAAATATGTTTTGTGAAGAAGAATGGTTTATGAGCATTCCCATTAGTGAAGAACATCATTAATTTTATTTTCTGTCTCCCTTTCTGATCAACACAGCATTATGTATGCTAACTGGAAGCCTTTAAAAACATTGATTGTTGTAATTTGAGATTATAATGTGAAGCTACTCCTTGTAATGTTAAAACTTTTTATTCAGAGAAGGAAGCATCACGTCTTGTTTCTAATACATGGTAAGTGGTTAGTTATGCAAGTTCTCCTAGTGTAATTGCGCTTGATGCATTTTTCTACCACTTGCAGGCAAAAAAATCACTATCCTACAGTCTGTATGCAAAGATATTTCTAACAAAATGGAAGAAGAGAAAACTGGCGTTTAATTTATTCAGGAAAGGAATTGACATTTATAATCACTTGATTATGATAATATATTATCTGTAAATTATCTGTTACACAAATTAAATTTGAACACTTGAACAGTTACACCACGCTAATGAATAAGTTCTGTACTTCCCTAACCTAACCCTTGTATGGCAATATTATGCAAAAGACAATATGACCTTGTCTGCCTTATTTTCTGCATTAAATTAAACAAAAACAAAAAAACATTTCCAAAATGATTTTTTTTAAATTTAAACAGAAAGATCCCGCAAAAATTTAAAATTTTTTGGCTTGCTTCATTCTTTTCTGAAAAACAGGTAGCTTTCACAAATAAATTTAAAAACCGATTTGATTATCATCAGTTGAAAATTTTTTGCGGATTTTTTTTATAAAAAAACTTGAATTAAAAACGAAAATTTAGAAAATTAAAAAACTTTTAATTTAAAGTTTAATATTGATAAAATTTCCCAAAGTTAATTTTTGATATAGTTTGGGAATACCTTAAAAAACCCCAAAAGTAAATTTTCCCACCTTTTAGACTTTTTCATTAAACGGGGGAAACCCATTTATTAAATTTAAATTTTTGGGGTCCAAGGTTAAAACCCGTTTTTAAAGGGGTTTCCCTGATAAAAAAACACGGTCTAATTAAAGATCTGAAGGTAGAATTTCATAATGTTTTATTGCATTTCAATAAAATGATCTAATTTGTTTCTAAATCACTTAAATGATTAAAACAAATATCATATACTAGTTATGTATGAAAAAAATGTTAAAAAGTGTGCAAACTATCTATAATTATATGTAGCATTATAAAGTGATTTTTTTGTGTTTGGTTTTTTTGTTTGTTTGGTTTTATGGCGCATGAGCACAATTTAGGTCAAATGGCGCTGAAACTGGAAAGATGAATTTGGCTAACCTCGGGTGTTACAAACTTAAAGCAACACCAGAAGTCAAACCCACCTCACCTGCTGGAGCTAAAAGATGCAGACACTCCAGTAGTTCCAACCCATATAGTTGTCTTACTTTCACTAGAAGCCATGAAAAAAATTAAGACCCTTGGTATGTCATAAACTTGAAGCCTCGCCATGAACAAAACACAACTTTAGTTGGCGTTTTGAGACCAAAAAGCCATGGATCAAGACCAGCATTCTCAATCCACGCATCCTTGATCAGGAATGCCATCTTGTCGCTTACCAAACCCTACTACAAGTAAGAGAAACTAATAGTCTCTATATCTAGCAAATGGATCCCTGATCAAAACTGCCGGGGAAATGCGCCAGGCTGATCTGAAAATCCATGCTGGGTCTGACAACGCACTATGTTTGGTTTTGTTCCATGATGTGGGCTCCCATTTGTTTATTTCGTTTCCTGTGTAACCACTAAAGAACTCTCGACTTCGTTCGCTGAAATGACCAGTATAATGGGGTGGCTGTGTACCTAATTTTAGTGTATTTTTGTCACCTTGTGACATCATTATTTGAAACAAGAGCTGTCCGTAAGACAGCGCGCTCGACTTTTTTATTGCTTGCCAATAAAAAAAGTTTTTGCAGTAAAAGGCAATACAAGAATCTCTGTATTTTTAAAGTGAACAATGGCCATGAGCATTAAGATATTTAGTGAAGAATTATTTTACTGAATTGTGTGATACCCTTGAACACTGCAGCAAAGTTTGAAATGTTTAAGTCAAAAGAGGGCTGGTAAGAAAGAAAAAAAAAAAAAACTGAGTTGAGCCTTAAATAAATTTAATAGTATTAAACCCACTTGAGAGAATAAGGTATTTTTACGTCACTCAGAACACCTTGGTAAATGACATAATAACATAATTTTTCAAGAAATCTATGCCAAGGAAGCAGTATATTTTTGTACAATCAGCATAAATATATAGATTTGACTTTGTATGTGAAAGTATTATATTTACCTTATAATACAAGTAATAGATAAATTTTATCAAGCTTTTTTAGATGTTGTCAGTTGGTCACAAGTGGATCTCTTTCACACAGCAATGTTTATATGACATAATTTATGGGTAAAGTGAACAAGTGGATAGGAATGAATTTTTTTAGATTTTTTAAGTTTTTTAGTGCTTGTCTATAATACAAAACATTGACAGTTAAGGGCCATAATTCAAATAAAATCTTTGACAGAATTACCTTCTCCTGGACATGTTTGGGAATCATGATTGTAAACAAGTATTCCAACTTTCAAATTAATATCTCAAACAGTTCAGTCAAAAAGTGGACTGGTACTAAAAACTTAACCAAGATTCTAAGTCGATAAAAAGGCCTTAATTTTTTAAAACAAATCCTTGACAGAGTTACCTTCTTTTGCGTACAGATGGGGGTAATGATGTGAAATAGCATTAAAAGTTTCAAAGCAATATCTCAAAGGGTTAAGGCAATAAGTGGATTTTACCCATATTCAATGTATTTTTCTAAGTCAAAAAGGGGCATAATTCTGTCAAAAACCTTGACAGAGTTATGTCCTCTTGTCTGTTGATGAAGGTCGTGATGGTAAACAAGTATGGTCAGTTTCAAAGCAATACCTCCAATGGTTTTGAAATAAAGTGAGGTGGTACAAAAAAACTTAACCAAGCTCCAATACACTTTCTAAGTCAAAAAAGGGCCATAATTCTGTCAAAAACCTTGACAGAGTTATGTACTCTTGTCTGTAGATGGAGGTTATGATGGTGAACAAGTATGGTAAGTTTCAAAGCCATACTTGTAATACTTCTGAAATAAAGTGGGGTGGTACGAAAAACTTAACCAAGGTGTGACGCCGACGCCGACGCCGACGCCGACGCCGGGGCGAGTAGGATAGCTCCCCTTTTCATAGAAAAGTCGAGCTAAAAAAGCAATATGGCAGCTCCAATCTATATTAATCTGGGTTCAAAATCCTTAAACATAACTTTATAAAAGCAAGAATGCACTGGGATTTGATTTTATCTTGTGTATATGTTTCTTAAAATTGAAATCATTCTTTTTTAAATACTGGATTTTTTTTCCATCGATCTAGGTAAATCTAAAAATACAAAAAATAAAAAATCATAACAAAAATAGGAAAACGTCTCATAAAATATTCATTTGATAATCAATACTAATGCTGAGTATAAAAAGGCAAGGAAAATTTCAGGCCAATGACCCCATAAAAAATATACTGTAATTACCAAAAAGCAGGCCAATAGTTCTTGACTATTTGGTTTTAACATATTAACATGTGTAAAAATATACCAGTTTGCAAGCAGTTTTGGCAATTTTAACCTATTGACCCTTTCAGTGATACTCCAGTAAAAAAAAAAAAAAATGCCAAACTCAATAGCTAATTATACACAAACCTGATGCAGATGATTTTAGTTAAACCTTAACAACAAAAATCTAAACATGTAAAGAAATAGTAAGATACTGTATGGAATTGTTTAATTTTATTTCATTTGCTTGGAAATGTTTCAATTTATTTTACCATATAGTAAATGGATATAAAGTAAAAGGTGGATATAAAATAAAAGGTGAAAATTCATTTTTGAATCTGTCTTTTTGAATTGAAAGAAGGAATGATGACAGTATCCAACCATGTGTCACTTGTACCTTTAAACTGATTCCAAGTGTTAAACAGTTTAATCATTCAATGATTTCTCAAATTTTATTTATTTCATAGCACATTATGTTCCTGCAATTTATATTTTAGTTTTATTATTCTGCAAAAATCACAAGTTAGGACTTGGTTTACATCAAAATCAAAATGTAGAACTTTTAAAACGTTTTGTCTCTGAGGTAATTATTAGTAATTAGCAGAGTGTTCTTAATACCTTTTATGGCAATCTGGATTAAGTCTGCAACTACTTTCATCTCATGCTAATGCAAGCAATACTCTATATTTAGCCTCCATGAAATTTATCTGAACACAACAAGAGGGGAGAGGTCGCGTGGCTTCGTTTAAATATCAATTTTCAAATATTTAATTCAATATTTTCATAAAAAATTGGCAAGTTAAGTCAGTATGTTTCAGTATTTCAGTGACATACCTTTCAAATAATTGTAAGACTGTGTACCATATTGTTTTTCTCAAGTAAATTTGAATTTTTCAATATATTTTATACCATATTGGCTGAAACAAGCTGTCACAAAAAAAAAGTTAATCTACCTATTTGTTGGGATGTATACTTACAGCAAACCTAGCAATAATGTTGGCACCAGCTCCTTCTCCGAGGCCCACCACATTCTTCACACTGAAATCATCCAAATCAATTGTTTTTTACTATCAAATAAAATACAGTTAAATACAATATTAAGCCCTTTTAATTTAAATATCATATATAGCTTGCAAGTTCTTATAAAATATATGTTGATACAGAATCTATTTTGTTAAGACAGTGCTTAAATTTCTCACAGTCACTTGGGGTTTGGAGCTCAAAACGCCTTTAAAATCCAAATAAAATGGGTCAAAGACAGAAAAGGCCGGGTTGCATTTGTACACCAAATATCATGAGGCTGTGATGTTACGAAAAAAAATTTCAATTGACCCATTTATGTCGAAAATTTAATTCAGAAGGTAAACAGGAAGTGGTTTAGCTACACACCTAAAATCGAATCCCACAGTATGGGACCATGTGTCAATGCTGTATGCCAAAAATCAAGAGGCTGTGATTAGTAGTTTCTGAGAAAAATGTTACGAAAATTTCCTACCAGTGACCATTAATGTGAACAGGAAGTGGATGGAAGTGAACATTTTTATCTTGTGTATTATTATAGATGTTGAAAAATAAATTTTTTTCAAAACTGCTTATACTAAGTTTTTTTGATATATATGATCAGTACATGTGCTGGGATTGACAAAATTTAACATGCATTTTATTTGGATTTTAAAGGCGTTTTGAGCTCCAAACCCCAAGTGTCTGTGAAATTTCTATGAAAAAAGTTGTTTTAAACATAAATGTGAAACAAGTTCTTTCATCCTATATAATCTTTTTATAAGTTTGCTTCCTAATCTAACAAGTTCTAGTGTTACATGAGAACACATGGTTGTTACCCAGGAAAGGCTTAGATTTTTGATTTCTGAATTGAAAGACACCATCAGACCACTGATTCTCAATGTAATGCAATGGAGTCATGACCTAAATAAATCTTCTTAAACGGAGCCTTGTATCTACTTTTAGAGAAAGATATGGAAACAAGAAGACTATTTAAGCATCATTTTAAGACAAGGGTTGTTTTTCTTTTTTAATTATACCTCCTTTTTTTATATATCACCGTAACCTACTATTGGGAGATCAAACTACAGGATAAATATCAGCAAAGTAACATGACTCAAATCTGTCTAAATGTCTCATCGTCCAAGTTTCCAATACACTAATACAACACTACAGCAGAATGCCTCATAAAATATCACCACACTTCATGACATTCAATGACAGGACATTGTCAGACATTTTATCATAAATCACATATACAATACAATGTAATGCTAAATATAGCTCATCTATGGAACAATATTCTTGATAGATTTTTGCGGAAGCTGTTTTTTACCACTCTGGGAATAAGCAATAATCTTAGGTTATAACCTGAGATTCTAATTATGATGATTTACTACTGATTTACTACGAAGTGTTTAACAATCACTCTTGCTGCAATGTATTTTTTCTGCTTGATATTACTGGCAAGCTTACACTGGGCACCATTGTATCAAATGTATAGATCTTTGAAAACATTAAGCTCACATTATATCAATAGCTTATTCTCGCATGAAAAGAATACAAGATAATTCAAATAAATTTTGTTATATCATCTATTCTAAATGTAGCTATGCACTTCCTTACCTTAAGAAAAAACAGACTTGTACTCTTAAATTAAAGTATAATGTTCTGTAAAGTTCTGTATACTTAGGAAAATTTTGAGCTCTATAGATCAGGTGATAATCTAATTACTTCCACAGTGTAATATTAAGATGTTGTTTACTTACTCTAATTGATCTAATACACACACTAGGTCTTCACCAAGGCTCTGCATACTTGGGAACGTATAACTGAAAAACAGCAAAAATAACAATGTTTACATGATACTGAAAATTTAGTATAAATTCTGTATAAAAAAATTGTTTACATAATATTGAAACTAGAAATGTGTCATCATGCCACGGATGCCCCCGCATGCAGCCAAAATTTCAGATGTTATAATATTTAGTTCCAAATTTGTTTGCACAAATAATTTTTTTCATTTTAAGTTCAAAGCCCTTAAAACTTTTCAATGTTAACACAAACCATTTTCATACAATGTTCAAGGCACTGAAATTATTCAGTCTAAACCTTTTGAAAATAGCATATTTCATATTTGTAGCAAAATAATGGCTACATACATTTCAGTGCTGAAACTGAAAGTTCAAAATTTTTACAACATTCAAGAAAGATAAGTTTGTCCAAAATCATTGAACCACGACCAAATTCAAACTTAAACTGCTTATTCCTAAGATGTATCTATATTATTTTCAAAGTGAAAGGGACATAACTCTGCCAAAAAGTCATCGAACCATGACCAAATTCAAACTTGACCTGCCCATTCCTTTGACATATCCATATGTCAAATTTGAGTAGTTGGGTAGATAATGAACAGAAACAGTAAATTTCATAATATTTTCAAAGTGAAAGGGGCATTACTCTGCCAAAAATCATTGAACCATGACCAAATTCAAACTTGGCCTGGGCATTCCAAAAATATATCCATATGTCAAATTTGAGTTGAATGTGTTGTACCATTGGGGAGATAATAAACAGAAACTGAAAATTTCATATTATTTTCAAAGTGAAAGGGGCATAACCCTGCCAAAAATCATTGAACCATAACCAACTTTGATCTTGACCTGCGCATTCCTGTGACGTATCCATATGTCAAGTTTGAGTTAAAAGTGTTGTACCATTGGGGAGATAATGACCGGAAACTGAAAATTTCATATTATTTCCAAAGTGAAAGGGGCATAACTCTGCCAAAAATCATTGAACCATGACCAAATTCGAACTTGACCTGTATTTTCTCATGACATATCCATATGTCAAATTTGAGTTGAATGTGTTGTACTGTTGGGGAGATAATGAACGGAAACTGAAAATTTCATATTATTTTCAAAGTAAAAGGGGCATAACTCTGCCAAAAATCATCGAACCATGACCACATTCTAACTTGACCTGTATTTTCTCATGACATATCCATATGTCAAGTTTGAGTTGAATGTGTTGTACCATTGGGGAGATAATGAACGGAAACTGAAAATTTCATATTATTTTAAAGTAAAAGGGGCATAACTCTGCCAAAAATCATCAAACCATGACCAAATTCGAACTTGACCTGTATTTTCTCACGACATATCCATATGTCAAATTCGAGTTGAATGTGTGCAACTGTTACTAAGATAATGAACGGAAACTGATGATGACGGAATGACAGAATGACGGAATGACGGAAGGACGGAATGACGGAAGGACGGAATGACGGAAGGACGGAATGACGGAAGGACGGAACAGGGTAACACTATATGCCCCGGCCATTACATGGCGGGGGCATAAAAATAATAATTTCACAATATTGCAAAAACAATCATTTATATTTACAAAGAAACCAATTCAGACTCCTGGTTATACAATACATGTATCAACCCTGATTTTGTTTTAGGTAAGGTTTTACGTCACACAAACACAATATAGGTCATATGACAATTTTTAGCTTTACTGGTGGAGTATTTCATGCATAAACGGGTATATGAGTAGATCCACTGACATTCCATAAGCTAGCTGGATAGCTTCCTCACATGAAAGAATCTAAAGTCCCTGTCAGGATTCGAACCCACAGCGGTTAGGGGCAAGTGGTTTAAAGACAACAATCTTTACCACTTGGCCACGGCCCCACCCAGGAGTGTGTTAATAATATCTCTTTTAAAATGGAAACCTTTCAATAGATGTGCAATAATTATGTATATTTTCTGTACTATAAATGTAAACATGAACTATTAACTTATTCAAATAGAACTTGTAAAAACAAAACAAAATTAATGCTAAATGACATTAATTCTTGTTTCTGGAATAAAACATTGTATTTATTAGTATTCCTAGTTTCATGCAATCCTTAAACTATTCAAATTGCTGATACATGTATCTGGAAAAGAAATAGTGGTTCCTTTCATGCAATTTTTTTTTTCTACCTGTTATAAATATCATCAGCTTCATATCCTATATACAAACAGTTAATAGGCATGTTAGTTAGCACCCTTGCATGTATTAGACAATACTTATATTGCTTTACTAATCAAGTTCTGTTTACAATGTGAGCTAAGTATAAAGTTATGCTTGATATATAGGTAGACAGTTGTAAAACACTGTTCTTTCTAATATTATCATTGTTAACTTTTTTATTTGCTTTTTTTTAGCTTTGTTTGGATTTTATGTCGCACCATCACATAATAGGTCATAATTATGGAGACTTTCCAGCTTTACTAGTGGAGGAATACCTCAGCTGCCCCTCTATATATTATTTCAGGTACAAACGGGTACCTCAGTAGCACCTTAGACTTTCTATAAGCTTGCTGGATAGCCTTCTCACATGTAAAATCAGACGATGCTCGCATGGCTCAAATCGGTGTGAGGCAAGTGGTTTGAAGTAAATGACCTTACCAACACAGACACTCTTCTCATTGTTAACTAAATATTCAAAGAAATCAAAATAGATAAATCAAAACTTTGAAGAATGCCCAAGAAGCAAAATTGAAAATGTTGCTTGTGTAGTTCTATTGAGCCTGTGTATGGACGGTAGCAACAAACTGCAATCTACTTCCTCTAGCACTGGCTATAGCCAAATTTCAGATATGAAAATGACGACATATTATGCAAGAATTGTGCAATAATTAATCCCTGAAATTAACTGCCAAAATGAGCAACACCTTAAGAAAATGGACTAATATATTTAATAGTATATTAATATGAAAGACAATATATTTTAACCTGCATTTCTTTTATTACTATTCAAGATCATAATCCTGAGAACGACAACATTGCAACAGTATTGGGAAGTGACTTTTTTTTTGTTGTTAATAATTATTCGATAACACATATAAAACTTGCTGTTTTTAATTTTCAGCATACCTGAAACATATATATACTGTTCAATCTACCAGTGTCATATAAATACTTAAAAGAAGCAGGTACTGATTCTAACATTTTCTATGAAGTTATAAGTGCTGCCTTGGTGCACCATTCATAAAATCAGCCTAACATCATAAAAAGTGGCTCAGTGCTTATTTCATAATTATATAACAAGTAGCTTGGCAAATTTCTCAGGTATACCGAATATCAAAAGACAATATTAATGTTAAATATAAACTAGAGGATGCTTTTGTAAAAAAGCGCATGTCTCCCCCACTGCTGAGAATAACTGTGAATGGAAACAGGAATGGAAATGGAGATAAAAGAACAGAGTATATAAAACCAGACAACTGATATATCACTGATATATCAATAATAGTTAAATGTCCTCACTGATAAGAACTCTAGTTATCATCCGGAAATGAGAAAATGACCAATGGTCACTGTGACCTTAACCTTTGACCTACTGACCCCATAAACAAGAGGGATCATTTGATTAATAAGACCAATCATCCTATGAAGTTTGAGGGTTGTAGGTCAAAAGGAACTCTAGTGATCATCCGGAAATGAGAAATTGACCAACGGTCACTGTGACCTTGACCTTTGACCTACTGACCCCAAAAACAATAGGGATCATCTGCTCTATAAGACCAATCATCCTATGAAGTTTGAGGGCTGTAGGTCAAAAGGAACTCTAGTTATCATCCGGAAACGAGAAATTGACCAACGGTCACTGTGACCTTGACCTTTGACCTACTGACCCCAAAAACAATAGGGATCATCTGCTCTATAAGACCAATCATCCTATGAAGTTTGAGGGCTGTAGGTCAAAAGGAACTCTAGTTATCATCCGGAAACGAGAAATTGACCAACGGTCACTGTGACCTTGACCTTTGAACTACTGACCCCAAAAACAATAGGGATCATCTGCTCAATAAGACCAATCATCCTATGAAGTTTGAGGTCTGTAGGTCTAAAGGAACTCTAGTTATCATCCGGAAACGAGAAATTGACCAACGGTCAGTGTGACCTTGACCTTTGACCTACTGACCCCAAAAACAATAGGGATCATCAGCTCTATAAGACCAATCATCCTATGAAGTTTGAGGGCTGTAGGTCAAAAGGAACTCTAGTTATCATCCGGAAACGAGAAATTGACCAACGGTCACTGTGACCTTGACCTTTGAACTACTGACCCCAAAAACAATAGGGATCATCTGCTCAATAAGACCATTCATCCTATGAAGTTTGAGAGCTGTAGGTCAAAAGGAACTCTAGTTATCGTCCGGAAACGAAGAATGGACGGACGGACGGACTGACGGACGGACGGACTGACAGACGGACGGACTGACGGACGGACGGACTGACGGACGGACAGGGCAAAAACAATATGTCTCCCCCCGAGGTGGGGGAGACATAATTATTGTATTAGTAAATATTGACGAAAGAGAGTAGTCTGCCTTATGGTAGAAAGGTTGTCATTCTCACAAATGACCCTGAAAAGCAAACATTGGCCAGCAAATGTTTTGAATATTTTTTCAGTCGTATTTGTTACAAATTCTGTGTTATTATTGCACAATTCCTGTATTATTTTCAAATTCCTTCGTTACAGATATTTGTTTGTTTTTGACCCCAGAAACAACACATTGTTGGTCAACTCTAAGCAGTTTATCCAGTCAACTGGCTTTCCTGGATAACAACCCAGTAATTGTCGATTTCTCCATAAATAATCACCTACTAATTAAACATTATTTCTAAATGACCTGTGGGTGCAAAATGACCATAAGACCCAATATCCCTTATCAAATGTCATGGGAGAAATTTGGCCTCACCCACGGATCAAACACTAGTAACCCCTGGATTACAAATATGGCATAGTCAATATTGATAGGGGTACACA